TCTCACCAACATCATTTTCTTCAGTTTTAATGAAAACTGAGTTTCCAGGATTGACCTCCTTCAAATACCCACCAAATGCATGAATCATGGCATACTCATCCTTAAAACTCCCCTCCATCTCCTTCAACACCATCTTCTTGGCTCTAACACATTTCTTATAATTTATACTAACGCTCAACTCATTGTATGCAAATATCATCATATCTTTGCATTTCAAGAAAGGTGTAGCATAAATTCTTGATTAAAAGTACTCAGCAACCATCACAGCTATCATCATCTTGTTTTCTGAATTTTTAACACATGTATGTTCAGAGTAGTATGTTTTTACCTGGAAACTGTCATCTTTATTGACATATGAACCGTAAATCTCCCAACAACACAAACCAAATTTGCAAATGAACTTTTGTCTCTTAGGCTCGTTCCTTATATGAAGTAAAGGACAACCTTTCCTCACAGAATACTTTCTCACTGCTTCCTTGAATTGTGCTGCATTTTGAAATCTCATACCAACTTCAAAGAATGGTACATCCCAAGAAGGATTAAAGTACACATTAGAAGCTCTCCTTTGTCTTGCTATATCAGATGAAACAAAAAACAAATTTTCTTCTTCAGACTCAGTAGATGAATCCCTCAACTTCCCAGCATCATCACTGTTTTCATAGTGACTGTCTCTGCCATCATTGTCACTTTCAGACACATCATTCTCAACAGGAATACCTTTAGAAGGATGTAGAGGATCTCCTTTCTTTTGTTTAGTTGGTGTTGAATCCTTTCTCTTTTGACATTCCCTCCAATGAGGTAGTGTTTTGTACCTTTTTTCTGCAAGCTTTGCCTTCTCTTTCCTCAACCTACTCAACTCAGCAGGATTTGACGATGCAACCTTCTTACCCCTAGAGACTGGAGCAGATCTAGTGGCTAGCTTCTTTATAGGGGTAGATATAGGGGTTGGCTTTTTTATAGGAGTAGATCTAGGGGTTGGCTTCTTTGCAACATGCTTGTACTTGACCCCTTTTGGTGTTTGAAGCCCACTGGGAACTTCTAACCCTTCTGTTGGTCTCCTAATAGACCTTGCACATTTCTTCACATCAATTAACTCCTCATCATCTTTATCACTACTACAAAGAAGTTCTACTTCATCAACTGTCGAGCTCCAATCATCAACATAACCATCAGTTGACCCAAGCTCTGTTCCACTTCCACAATTACCTCTATTACCCTTACTACATTCACCTTTCTCAACTGTATTCCCAGTATTACCCTTACTGCCAATAGGGTACTCTTGGGTTATGTTACCTAAGTCACCTTCATCTACTCCCCCACTAATCTCACCATCAGTACCCTCACCTAGCCTTTCTTCATGTCCACTTTCCTCTTCATCTACCCTTTCTTCATGTCTGCCTCCCTCCTCAACTACATTGTTACCAACCCAACAGGATTGTGGAAAAGCAAGTTGGGCAAAATTGACCTCATGATCAACATATATATCAACACAACCCTCAACACGCACCATGCGCAAAATGTCCCTAATACTGTCATCACCAGCCAAACACTGCAATTTCATAACACTTCCTCCAATTGTTGTGTAATACACATTCTTAATCATAACATCTTCATAGCCAAAACTAACAATTGTATCCATGATCACACCAACATTTAACCTATCCATGTCAAAGGGTAATGATGTACATTGAGCAGCTTTATACTGAATTGGTGGTCTTGGAACAAATGTCCCACCATGGAAAAAACACAACACTCCCTAGAATTCATCCGCCATGCTGTTCAATAAAAAATGACAAAAAAAAACCTTTTTGAGTGACCCACAGATTAACATCAACATTAATATACTACCCATCCCAAACCCACAGTCAAACCTACAAAATGTAAGCACTTTATAAAACCCCTAACCCACCCATAACTTTCTATACAGAAAAAAGACACCAAAAGACCAAAAGCAATACTTACTGTCCCTTTGTCCTGATCAACGAAGCCCTTTATCCTGCTGACTCAATTTCTTATTTCGATTTCAGTCTTGAGATTCGCCAAGCATTGTCGTATCCCCTCCAACTATCAATCAAGAGATTCTTCAAGTATTGTCGTAGAGAGACTTGAGATTGGAGAATCGTGGGATTGGTTTTCATTTACAGGGTTTACAGGTTTACAGGCATATAAGGCTTTTCATTTCCATTTTTAATCTTCAATCAAATAGATAAAATTAGGTTTTAGCCATTTAAGGGTTTTATGGAATTTTATAGGTGGGGCCCAGTTGACGTGTAATGGAAAGAAGAGAAAAATCACCACGTATGATTAAAATGGGCGAGAATGGGCCAGTTCAGCATCCACACAGGCAAAAAAACCTCCACCATGTTTAAAATGTTTGAGTAAGCATGCCATTAACGGGAAGATGACGACAGTTGACGTGGCCCGTCAAATAATGTGTTATTTGTCTAAGTCGAAAACTTTGTGCGTGTATTTGTCCCGTTTTTTGTTCGGGTGTGGATCCGTTTCTGCCACTATAGTTGGGGGGGTGGATTTGGGCATTTTGCCGTTATTGACAACCGGAGCTGAGCTCTAACGGCAAAAGTATATTTAATATTTATTTTAATTAATTTTTATATATTTTTAAAATAATAAAAAATATATAAATTAAAAACTAAATAATCCTAAAAATTAAAGAATTAAAACACGTTATTAAAGTAAGTTACAGTCAATAATAATGAGATTACTAAACTTTAATTTTTTTTTCTTAAAAGTGTCTAATATATTTATTTATTGATCGATTTTAATTTATTATTGTAATTAATAAATATAAATATTTTATTATGTCAGTTCATTGTGAGTAAATTTTTTAAAAATAAAATATAAATGTAATAATTTATTAA